AATCAGTGTTTTACTTTATTTTTAGACTGTAAATTCTATATCTAAATATCATAATCATATAAATAGCTTCTATAAATCAAAATGTTTTGACCATCAGTAAAAGACTTAAGCATTTTACGAAAGAGGATGACACATGAAAAAAATGTTCAAAGTCATTAGTCATCAGAGAAATGTAAATTAAAACTACAATGAGATACCACTATATACCCACCAGAATGGGTGAAATTAAGAATACCAACTGTTAGGCTGGGCGTGGTGGCTCACGCCTGTAATCCTAGCACTCTAGGAGGCCGAGGAGGGCGGATTGCTCGAGGTCAGGAGTTCGAAACCAGCCTGAGCAAGAGCGAGACCCCGTCTCTACTATAAATAGAAAGAAATTAATTGGCCAACTAATATATATAGAAAAAAAAATTAGCCGGGCATGGTGGCGCATGCCTGTAGTCCCAGCTACTCGGGAGGCTGAGGCAATAGGATCGCTTGAGCCTAGGAGTTTGAGGTTGCTGTGAGCTAGGCTGATGCCACAGCACTCACTCTAACCTGGGCAGCAAAGTGAGACTCTGTCTCAGAAAAAAAAAAAGAATACCAACTGTTGACAAGGACATGGATCAACTAAAACTCTTACCCATTGCTAGTATGAGCATAAATTTGTAAAACTACTTAAGAAAACTAACAATTTCTGCTAAAACTAAATATATACCTACCCAACAACTCAGCAGTTCTACTCCTTGGTATACATATACTCAAGAAATGAGTGCATATGTATCCACCAAAAGACATGCATAAGAATGCTCATGCCAACTTTATAATAGCTAGAAATTAGACACAAGTGTCTGCCAACAGTACTCTGGTGAAGTTCTTTGTGGTATAGTCCAGTCATATAATGGCATACTATATACACATCAATAAAAAGAGTGAACCACTGACCTCCACAACATGAATGAAACTCGCTGGCATAACAGTAAATGAAATAATCCATATACAAAAGACTCCATACTTTATGATGCAATTTGTATAAAGTTTAAGAACAGGCTAAATGAATCTATGGTGACAGAAATAAGAATAGTAGATGAGTTTTTACTGAAAACAAGGCAAGGGAGCTTTCTAGGTGTTAAAAATGCTTAATTTCTTGATCTGCATAGTGCTTACATGGGGATATATATGTGTGTTTGTATGTGTGTGTGTGTGTAAAAATTCTTCAAATTATACTCTTTTTTTTTTTTTTTTTTTTTGAGACAGAGTCTTGCTCTGTTGCCTGGACTAGAGTGCCGTGGCATCAGCCTATCTCACAGCAACGTCAAACTCCTGGGCTCAAGCAATCCTTCTGCCTCAGCCTCCCCAGTAGCTGGGACTACAGGCATGTGCCACCATGCCCAGCTAATTTTATATATATATATATATATATATATATATATATATATATATATATATATATATATATTTTTTTTTTTTAGATGTCCAGATAATTTCTTTCTATTTTTTAGTAGAGATGGAGTCTTGCTCTTGCTCAGGCTGGTCTCGAACTCCTGACCTGAGTGATCCTCCCGCCTTGGCCTCCCAGAGGGCTAGGATTACAGATGTGAGCCACCATGCTGGCCAAATTATACTCTTAGGATTTGTATACTTTATGTTACAACTCTATAACAAATAATAGTAATAACATAGTCCCTACTTTAAAGCATTTAGACTCTATTGAGGGTAAGAATGGGGAAGAAGTAACTCCTTTCCTAAACATGGGATTTAATTGGGTTCCTTTTAAGTGGCTTATCCTTGTCTTTGAGTCTTTGGCAGAGTAGAAACTCAGTAAATGTTTATTGAATGAACAGATAAATTTCTTGTCTTTATAAGTTAGCATTGAGATTGTTCACAGCATTTACTTTATTGATAAAGGGCTGACTGATACTGAGCTTATAATATAGCCAGTTTATAGTGAATCTTCTAATATCATGGAGGTTAAAATCCTAAAAAGCACAAACATAATGAGCTTCTGTTTCCTAAAAGGTTTGTGAAATGTGTTGAGACATTGTTTGGTAATGACTATCATTTAAAGATGTAACTTTAATTCACTTTTTAATTAGACAAGTCTGCTTATGTTTTTTGTATTTGAAATCCTTTGAAGAGTTGGTGGTAATTTGGGATACTTTGACTCTTTATAAGCCAAGTCTTTTCAGGCATCCTCCTATTTACATCTTAAGGCTAATCTCCTGTACTTTATTCCCTCAAATAATAGTGGGTTTTATAGAGGAACTCCAGCTATTTAAATGGGGGAGTCAGGCATGAGATCTAGAGTTTGAAAATCTGCTACCGTTCCTTCTCATTTATTCATTTGTATTACTTCTGAGATTTCTGGATCATTTCTACTGGGTTAAGTACTGTTTTTGCCACCTAGAAACACTGTGTAATGCCATACTTCCATAAACATTTTGGAGTGGAAAGAGGAAGAGGATAACAACAGGCGTTTAAAAAATTCAGGCAGAGTTTAAAACATTGCACCTTCTTAGAAAGTACACAAAAAGTAAATTCAGGAAAAAATAAAAAGGAAGTAAAATTTAAAAAAAAGAAATAAAACATTGCACCTTTGAAGCTAACAATCACAGCTAAATGCTGTAGTACAAATGTCTAACCTTGTTTTATATGGCTTTTCTACAAAAAGCCTCATCAAATATGGAGTAAGAAAGCCTCATTCTTTTCTATCAAGGTTTAATAATGTATGGTTGTCACTTTCCTCTAGGTAACCTCTAATTATAGCAGATAGATTTGAAGTGTTAAATAGTTTTGTCTAATGGACGCTGTCACACATTGCATTCTGTTTACCCCTTAGACAGGATGTATGTTGCTCAGATACAGAGTGTCCAAAAGATGTCAAGTAAAACACTAATTTCTAACTGCCTTCCTCAAGCATCAAATATTCATGTTAAAAATTATTCTAGCACATATAAGAAATAAATTTATAGGTTTAAAAATATAGCTGGCTAATTATAGGTTTTAAAAATATAGAAATAAAAAAATTTATCTTATGATTAAAATTATTCTTTGAAGAAATGAAAATATTTTGTTTTCTATTTGTACTAAAATTCTAAGTATAAATATTTTAATTCAAAAAGGAAGGATAGATATTCCTTATAAAAACATCTAATTTATTTAGAAACCTCTAACTGGCTTTAAAGTTAGTGTGGGCTTTTTCATCACAGGAGATTTTAGTGTAATAAGATAAATCTTTACTTAAAATTTTCAAATTGAGAAATACGTGACTGAAAAAAGAATAACCTTTAAAATGAACAAGGTTTCTTCCACAAGTAAATTGTAAGAGGAAAAGAAAAAGAGATGGAGGAGAAGTCTTTAGGCTAAAAGGTAAAAGACATAAATCAATCATAATATGAAAATCTTATTTAGCTCCTGATTTAGACTAACAAAATTTTTTTATAAAATTTGAGCATTGGGTATTTGACAATTTAAAAACCTTTTTAAAATTTGATCATTGTAGCTTTTAACCCTTTGCACTTGCTTGCTTTTTTCTTGATTCCTTTATTCTACTCAGGATTTAATTTTTTAAATACCCCAGATTTTACAAAGCGCGACAGTAGAATAAAAAACTGGAGTTTCTTTTCATACAAACTTATTTATTTGGATTTTTTTATATTTCAAATTATCGATACATTCAAAGAGTAATTTTAATCTCTATAATTTTTGCTAACCGTGTCAAGTCACACTTGACATCCGAGTGCAAAGGGTTAAAGTTTTTTTCATTAGAGATACTGATGTATGGCTAAAAGAAGTCTGATATATGCTTCAAAATTATATAGAGATAGTAAAGGGTAGAGATGAAACAGGAATGTCTTTGTGTGTGGATAACTAAGCCCAGATATTGCTTACATGGGTATTCTTTATACTATTCTGCCCACTTTTTTATATGTTTGAAAATCTCTATATTAAAAAATTTTTCTTAAAAAACTAAGCCACAGATCATTAAATTTGAATGTGTACCACACACTTTATCTCCTATTCAATAGTTTCTTCCATGTCCTTTGATTCTAGTATTTATCATTAGCTTAGCGAGATTGGTTCAGATTCCTAGGTGTGACATCATAGATGGGACTTAAAAGAATAGCTAGAAAATTGGTAGGGGAAGTAGGCCTATTTGTTATGTTTTGATGGCAGAAACTACATTGGTAGTATGCTGCTTTTATAAAGGTCTTAAAGTTTTAAGGTCTTTTTTCCTCATCCTAGTGACTTCTTTTCTTGTACTTGGAATAAAATCCAAAATGCTTAATACAATTTGAAGAGATTTTGTGTGATATATTTCCTGCCTTCCTCTTCTACCTTATGTGATATTAATCTATTTTCTTCCTATCCACTATTTTCCATAAGCACTGGCTTCTCTGTTTCTAGAATCTGCCTCAATGTCTTTACGTTGGCTGCCCATTATTGACCAACTCCCATTCAACCTTCAAATCTTAACAGTAGTGTTACTTCAGGGAAGCTTTTTCTCCCATCTTTCTTTATATTTTTTCTTCACAGTAATAGATGTTATAATTATATATCTGTGTAACTATTTGTTTAATGCTTGCATCTCCCATCATCTGTCATAAGAGCAGGGATAATACTATTTTGTTCATCAGTATAACTCTTACCACAGTGCCTGCCAGGTACAATGCAAATAGTAAATATTTGTTGAACAGAGGAATAAAGGAATGAATGATATGGCTCCTGCTCTTAGAGCAACACTGATTGGGCACTTCTCGCCCACATTTTCTTCTGTGCAGGGATTTTAGAAGCATGTTATATGACCCAATTGCCTCTCTCATTTTGGTTTAAGTAGAATTGTCTGTTAGATTGTAAATCTTAATGTTTTGACTATGTTTCTTGACTGACAAATTTAATTTTGGTGGACAACTGTAACTGAGCTTTAAATAATTAAAGAGTTAATAGTATTTACTTGCATTTATGTCAAATTTTGTTTCCTTTTTAGTTCTCTAAATTTAACTTTTTTTTCCTTTCCTTAGGTACTCTCTGCCCTTGACATACTCCAGCCTCCACACATTGACTATTTTGAAGAAATGTATCCTAATGTGAAAAGAAGGGGACAATTTTTTTATTAATTTGTTCTTCTAGCCCCTTTTGGGGTTCATGCTTTGAAATATATTAAATCTCACCCTTACAGATGTGCTTGAGTACTGGAACCAGGTAATTTTGAAATCCTAAGTATCCAGCAGAGCTGAGTATTATCAGCATACCCTGTGTGATGTTGCCACAGAACAGGACACCTGAATAGATATCCTATTTAATCCCCACACAGCCTTATAATATAGATTATTACCATTTCCAGTTTTACAATGAAACCAGTGAGGTAGCCATGTTCTAGTAGAACCCAGTAAAGTGTTTTTGCCACTCTACAACAGCTGCCTATCAGTTAAGAGAATAATACTGCCCTTTCTTATAATACTTGGAGTAAGATGAAAATTAAATGTAAGTCAAATGTCTTATATCCCTTAGGATAATGGTGGTGGTGGTGGTGGTTGTGGTTCTTTATCAGATGTCAGGCACAATTCTAAATTCTTTACACATTATGAATTTATTTAATCCCTGTAACAACCTTCTGAGGAAGGTATTGTGGTTATTCCCATTTTACAGAAGATGAAATTGAGGCACAAAAGGTAAGAAACTTGACCAAGATCACAGAGCTAGTACCTGTTGGAATTGAGATTTGATTCTAGGCAGTCTGACTATATAGTTTTGCTTTCAACCCCTACTTATATGATTGTCTCAGGATAGAGGCTTTAACATTCTGTTACTACCGTTAATGTCTAACAATAGTGTGTTAGGTATTGTGAATAATAATGAACTATAAAATAATGCATGGTAATAGCTTCTGGGACTGTGCATGAAAAAAATTGAGACATAGGTTAGCCCATCTGACATTCCTAGGCAAATTGTCACTAGTTTCTTTCTGTATTTAACTTGGTAAAACTTTAAGTAAAAGACAGGGAATCCTAAATCATTGAATTTGGTGAGCTCATGATAGTGCAGTTTATTCATACTTTAGGCTTTTTATTAACACTTTAGGTGTGTGACTCAGAATGAAAACCAATATAATAGATACATTTTCTGATTCAGCAGTGAGACAAATGAAAATCTTATTCTTACAGAGGTGGTAGGTAATTCCATACTAGACAGTTATCTTTGACGATTTCCTTAGAAACTGGGAACAAGTAAGAGCTTCCCAAAAAGAAAGAAAAAACTAAGCTGGTTAGGGAGTTGGGAAACCATATAAAGTGATAGAATTGTCACTGATCAACATTGCTGGGATGTTTTGATCTTTCATCTGGTAAACTAAAAGCTGTTGAATTCTGTGCTCTCAGCCTTCCAAATCTGCCTGTTTTGCATCCCATGGATCAAAAATATTTGGAAAAAATAATAACAAATAATACAAATAAAAAACAATACAGGTCTGGTGTGGTGGCTCACGCCTGTAATCCTAGCACTCTGGGAGGCCGAGGTGGGCGGATCGCTCAAGGTCAGGAGTTCAAAACCAGCCTGAGCAAGGTCGAGACCCCATCTCTACTAAAAAATAGAAAGAAATTAATTGGCCAACTAAAAATATATAGAAAAAGTTAGCCAGGCATGGTGGTGCATGCCTGTAGTCCCAGCTACTGGGGAGGCTGAGGCAGGAGGTTTGCTTAAGCCCAGGAGTCGGAGGTTGCTGTGAGCTAGGCTGATGCCATGGCACTCTAGCCTGGGCAACAGAGTGAGACTCTGTCTCAAAAAAAAAAAAAATTCAATATAGTATAACGACTATTTTTATAACATTTATATTATATCAGGTATTATAAATAATCTAGAGATGATTTAAAATATATAAATACTATGCCATTTTATATAAGGGAACATCCATGGATTTTGGTATCTGCCAGGGGTCTTAGAACCAATCCTCTGCTGTAATATTTGGAGATATTTTAATCCACAAATCCTTTATGGAGTTAATCTTTTTGTGCAGTAAAGCTGCAGTCCCCAACCTTGGTCCATGCCCTGTTAGGATCCGGGCCACACAGCAGGAAGTGAGTGGCAAGGAGCAATGCTTTATGTATATTTATGGCTGCTCCCCATCACCTGCATCACCTATAAGCTCCACCTCCTGTCAGAACAGCAATGGCATTAGATTCTCATAGGAGCGAGAACCCTGTTGTAAACTGTGCATGCAAGGGATCTAGGTTGCTCGCTCCTTTTGAGAATCTAACCTCTGATGATCTGAGGTGGAACTGAGACAGTGAATAGCACTGGGGAACAGCTGCAAATACAGACTATCATTAGCAGAGAAGTTTGCACGATAAATGTAATGCACTTGAATCATTCCAAAACCATTCTTCTTCCCACCCACCCTGTCCATGGAAAAATTGACTTCCATGAAACCGGTCCCTGGTGCCAAAAAGGTTTGGGACCTCTGCTGTAAAGGATTAATTCAATGGACTTGGGGTGTTCCAACCCTGCATATTCTAAAGTAAGGACTGTCCCTTGACCAGTTCCTGGCTAATAAAAGTGTCTTTGTATAGACGAGACCTTAAGCCAGGTCAGATGATTCTGACACACTCTTTTTTTTAAAAAAAGTACATAATTAACCCAAAGGTAGGAAAATCAAGAAAGTTCTTTTTTCCTCAACTATAGGTCAGTAGTGGCAACTAAGGAGGAGGCATTAATGATTTCATTTCATGGACTTCCTGAAGATTACCTGGGTCCTCATTAAAGAAAAGGAGGGAGCTGGTAGGAGTTGGGCAGCAATTATTTCTTTTAACAGAAGTACCTCTTTCTTTACCTGGCTGGGAGCAACCCTCTTTATCCTTTTAGTTAGTGAGAAGGAAATCCATATATTAGAAGCCATTCCTATCAGTATGTGGTACTATGTAATATTTCTGCCACTTTGGAAATGAAGTTACTGAAACCAGACCTTGAAATTAGAAGAAATTCCCTTTATTAAATATGAATTTTGCTGCTTTATAAGCTTAGAGGTTCCCAATACCACCCTCAGGTTCAATTTTTCCCTAGAAGGACCCAGAAAAGCTGTTTATTATAGCAAAAAGATACAGATTAAGATCAACAAAGGAAAATGACTCATAATGATTAGCATGATGTTCCAGTTGCCCTTTCCAATGGAGTCCCATCGGCAGCCCTTAATTATTCCTGCAATGACGTATGACAACATGGCCAAATGTTGCCAATTAGGGAAGCTCATCTGAGTCTTTTTTTTTTTTTTTTTTGAGACAGAGTCTCACTTTGTTGCCCAGACTAGATTGAGTGCCTTGGCGTCAGCCTAGCTCACAGCAACCTCATACTCCTGAGCTCAAGCGATCCTCCTGCCTCAGCCTCCCGAGTATCTGGGACTGTAGGCATGCGCCAACATGCATGGCTACTTTTTTCTATATATATTAGTTGACCAATTAATTTCTTTCTATTTATAGTAGAGATGGGGGTCTCACTCTTACTCAGGCTGGTTTCGAACTCCTGACCTCGAGCAATCCACCCTCCTCAGCCTCCCAGTCATCTGAGTCTTGATGTTCAGGATTTTTATTGTGGATCAGTCACATAAGCATGGAGTACACAGGTGACTAACCTTAACTACTCAGTCTCCAGCCCTCTTTTCCTTTTACCCTTAGTGGTCAAACTAATATAGGATAGCCCAAGGCAACAGCAAACAAAAATAGGTATTTACCATAAATCATATTGTTAGCATAAACTATCTGGCACAGCCAACATGCCAGCTATACTAAGACACTATTATCGTGTGGACATTGCAGTGGTTCAAAGGTTATTTCCCAGGAGCCATACAGAGGTCAGTCCTGAAGACTTTTGTAATCTACAGGGTTTGGGCAGCCCATATCTGTTAAGTTAACCCTTTACTGCACATAGGCCATCTGTGGGGAAAGAATGTTTTTGTGTAAGATAAGGATGGATATGGGTATATTAAATAAATGCCAAATATATTTATGTTCTCTTCATTGAATACTTAGCTAATTCATCATATCCATTTTCTATTTTATAGTTCAAGTACAAATTGTTTATATTAAGCATTTATTTGTGTACTTGGGTTTGTCAGTCCTTTAAAAACCTTGTATGTGTTTCTATAACATAGGAGTTCTCAATCACTTATTGTCATTGACCATAATTTAATTGAGTCTGAGAGAGCCATGATTTATATTATTTCAAATATTTATAGAACAGAGGAAAAGTTAGCGTAGTTAGGGTTTAAAACCATGAATGGGCTATGTACAGTGTCTAACACCTGTAATCCCAACACTGTTGGGAGTCCAAGGTGGGAGGATTGCTTGAAGCCAAAAGTTCGAGACCAGCAACAAAGCAAGACTTTGCCTCTACAAAAAATAGAAAAAGTAGCTGGGCATGGTGGTACGTGCCTAGAGTCCCAGCTACTTGGGAGACTGAGGCGGAAGAGTCACTTTAGCCCAAGAATTTGAGGTGGCAGTGAGCTATGATTGCACCACTGCACTGTAGCCCAGGCAACAGAGCCGAGACCCTGTCTCCAAAAACAAAAAAATACCATGAGTGGCATAGGTGGTTTAGTAGATATTATGGCTAATTTCAGCCCATTTCATTAGTTAGAATATTTCTATGAAATTGCCTTCCCCAAAATTGTTCACAAATGTTCAAATAAAGAGCTTTTGTCATAAATATTCATGAAACCCTCTAGTATGCCATTTACTTAAATATTTTACTTTATTTCATCTCATTATAGCACTTAGTTTTTTAGCTTCAGGTTAAAAAATTGACATGTCACTCTCATAATAGTTAGCTGACTATAGATGGAAAAATATTTCAGACTTAATATTCTTATGTTTTCTGTCTTATAATTTTTAGCTATATGTGGAATCATGCACAGAAAAAAGATAAATGTTTTCCAATAGTGGTATCATTTAGAAAAAAATTGAATCCTTTTAATGTATTAAATAAAAAGGATCATGTCTAGAGCTGCCACAGGATTATAAAGACTTTTTAGGAAGGAATGATTTAGCTTGGAGTACAGGATACTAAAAGGTTGTGTAACAGGATACCTAG